TTTTCTGAAGTACTTTTATTAAAGTTTCTTGTTGTATAATGACTTAAATGTTTGTAGCAGCCATCCAACATATACAAAGTAGAATCCAGTTGTTAAATTACTCAAGAAGAAGAAACAAGAGATGCTGCCATGTTTGATCTTCCATATAATGTCTTTCAATATTGAGTATATGGTTATCAGTATAATACTTAGATATTGATTTTGAGCAGGCCCATTATGCTGTTTTCTAACATGTAAAAGTTTCCTAGAATGAGACAAGTATTATTTTCAAGTCCCTTCCATATCCAGTGCTAAAATATGTTAGTCTTGATTACTTAGTTTCTTTTGCTCCATGTTCCTTTTTTGTTTTCCTACAAAAAAAAAAAAAAAGACAATGCAAGTGTAATGAGAAATAATGGATTATTTCATCGCAGGTACATGAAGATGGAGTTATGCATTTCTCCTCTTCCCAGTGTGGAAGAAATTGAGCAGACAGCTGGTGGAAATATTCTAACATGGCCTGAGAGACTCAATGCTGCACCACCCAGGATAATCTCTAAAAACATTGATGGTGTAATTATTGAGGCCTTCAGTCATGAGAATAAACTATGGAATGAAAGAATCTCATACTATGAGGAATATCTCAGTAATCTGCCTAGAGGTAAATATAGGAATATCATGGACATGAATGCTGGTTTTGGAGGTTTTGCTGCTGCATTGTCCAAATATCCTGTTTGGGTAATGAATGTCATTCCTGTTGATGGTAAAAATAACACACTTGGCATTGTGTATGAGCGTGGACTTATTGGGACATACATGGACTGGTATGTGACTTCTTCTTAACTATGACTTTTTTATTCATTCCAATGAAAACTTTGTGGTTTCCATGTTTGGATATGTTTCTGTTCAAAATAAAGGTAAATGCAATTCCTGTATGCTCGATGTTTTGCTGCCACAAAAAGTGTTAAGAATTAATATTGGAAAGATGCCTTATTATCAGGTGTGAAGCTTTCTCCACATATCCTCGGACATATGATCTTCTACATGCTAATGGGATCTTTGGAATGTACATGGACAAGTAAGTTTTCTTCATTCCTTGAGTCACTCTGTGAAATCAGGTTTTAGTTTATGCAACTAAGGAAATGAAACTGTACTAGTCACAGTGTATTAGTGGCTGCCTATAACGAAATTAAGCAATCAGCACATGTTTAAATCATTGAAGTTTGCCATTCTGTTTATCAATAATGAGTAATAAAAGATGATTGTTAATGGAAGAATTTCCAGAAATTGTATCTCTACTTTCTGCTTACTGCTTGAGATTTAATTTTACTTGAGGCATTTGCTTCATTCTCAAAGCCATTCAAGAAAATCTTAGTTGAAATCGACATTGACTTGTTCTATGAAACAAATTTAACATTGGATATTTCTTCTGTTGGCTTCTTATCATGTTTTTGATGTTTCTTGAGAATTGTTTCGTTATCTTTCAACGAGTAACCAACTAAATATCATATAGCCTTATTATCTTGTCCCAAATTAGTAATATCATGATGCCTAAAATACTCATTAAGTGATAGGCTACGAATTTTATAAATACAAGAACATCTTCTATCGGGATATCAGAATCTCCTGTATCAAAATCTATGTAAGCTTCGGAGCAGTATTTTGGGTTTCTATTGGAGACTAAACGAAATATCTTATTCTGATGCATGCCCAGCTCAGCATGCATTATCCACATGGAAAGTAACTGCAAAAGTCCTTTTTATACCAGAGCAAAAAGCTCTGATCCATGTGGCAGTTCATCTTCAGACCAACAAATATTGCCCGGTACATACCTGTCCCGATGGAATTTCAATCCATAATCTGAAACTTCGTGTAATGCGAACATATAAACAGCATCATGTTTAATCTTAGACGTCTATCAATAATGGTTCTAGGACCTCAAACAACTCTAGTAAACAACTAGGATTCCCATAAAACCTTAGGATCTCCATAACCTTTTATTCTTCTTAGATAAGACATGAGAGTCAACATGCTGGTCTAAACCTAGAGATAGCCAATGAAAGCCAAATAAATTGGCCTTGAAAGGATACAGCTGGAAACCTGGAATAAGCAACTGTGAGAATAACAGTGGTATTACTATCTTTTTGTCCTCAGAACTTTTTCAATCCAAGAAAAAAGACAGTCACACTAATCATAGACTAACAAAGCTATCACCAGGAGTTAATATTCTCTTTGCTTCTCCTCTCTTTGAAGTTTCCTTATATTCAACAAGTTTATTCTCCTGTAAAGCCAAGGATGGTTACATTAATCATCTTTCAGACAAGTGCTTTGTTTACCATGAAGCTCTCAAGAGTCTGACCATCCTCGGATATATGTTGTGGAAATTTCTTTCCTATAGAAAAATCAAGAATCTTTAGATTATTTCCTTGTCCTGCAGATAGCTGATAAAATCTACATATTTCTTTTCCAGAAATAAAATTTGTGTACAAGGTAATTAACCTTATATGTTAGCAATATTTTGAGTAATTATTAGAGCCAGTGTAGGACAACAAACTTGGTATTCAGCTTTTAGGTAGCTTGTTCGTGAACATGGAACGCTTGATTGAATTATTTTGAATCCTTTCTTCAATGTTTATGAGAATGATATTTTCAACATAATCATTATTTCTTTGTCTGCAGATGTGAAATTATTGACATCTTGCTTGAAATGGATCGCATCCTTCGCCCTGAAGGTGCTGTGATAATCCGTGATCATGTTGATGTTATTGTGAAAGCAAAGCAGGCAGCTGATCGCTTACGATGGCAAAGCAAGATTGTTCACAGTGAAAATGGACCTTTCCATCCGGAGAAACTTCTCATAGTTGACAACTCGGTTGCAGTAGACAGAAATCAGGCATCAAGGCGTTGATATTAGACTTATAATTCATTAGCCGATACTGCAGTGATCATTGACGAGAGGAATTTCCTTTCTATCTCTTAATCACATCCCCAGGGAAGTTATGTTACTGAAGAATAAATTGGTGAAGCATTAGGTGAGATATTACTAGATGCCAACTTTTCACAAGTCTCAAGATCGGTCCTGGACTTTCTCCAGCCCGGAGTTTGAGTGGGTTTTTGAACATCAAAGAAGCACATGAACTAGGAGTCCTGGCATATCCTTCTTACTTCTGCCAATGAAATCAGTGGACTAATAGGCAACCGAACACACCATGAGATCTTGGTTTGCAGATCAATCAACCGCAATCATTCTATGTAATTTAGAACCTACAGAACATTGACTACACTATGATCCGGTGGTGTGAAATCACAGACTTTGTGGCTGAGCTATCCCTGTTCTCAAATGTCCAAAGTCATTCATTTTATTGCTTTCAGGAATTCATAGCATATGGATTCTGACAAAGGGATCTTTAGCCATTTGTTCTCAGTTGATGTGGACCACTAGCCATTTTTGTCATTTTGGATGTTCTGCAGTTCCTGATTAATTAGTTGAGAATGGCTGAACTAATTTGCAAGTTCTTTTCAAAGTGACTACAACATGGTTAGGATAATTTTCTGGGTCTTCTCTCTGACTACAACTCTTATGTTCATTGGGTAACTCGAAATTGCTGGTATAAAAATCAATTTTCTTCTAAAAACTCTATTGCAATCCATTAGGTTTGTTTCATTATATGATTCTGTCTGATGGGATAAACTGATTTAAATCACTGACCTAAAATGCTTATTACCAATTGACTCACTCTTGCCATATATATAAACCCCAAGGAATTCTCTCTAAACTTTTGTACATGTTTTTTTTATCCAAGTCCAATAAAAAAGAGATTGGCATTGGATGGTTGAGAATTTGGTAGTATTTTACTTGTGTAATGAACCTCTAATTCCATTTATTATATCAGTGATATATGTATGTATATTATCTTGATGATGAAGATCATGATGGACTTCAAAATGAAATAAAGATGTTTATAATGATCAATTTACCAACTGCATTGTGCTTCACTTATTGAAAGATTAAATCTATACATCTATCATAAATCATATCATGTGATATATGTATGTATATTATCACTTTTATCATTATCTTGATGATGAAGATCATGATGGACTTCAAGATGAAATAAAGATGTTGATAATGATCAATTTACCAATTGCATTGTGCTTCACTTATTGAAAGATTAAATCTATACATCTATCATAAATCAAATCATGTAATAAGCTTAGTTCAGTAACTGGCATATTGCACACAGTAATGTAGTCACCAACCCAACTATGTTTTGAGCCACTTGTGTGGCACTAAGATGCAACCACTGCAGAATGAAAGTGAACACCAATTGCCCACAAGAAGAACCTGATGATGATCAACTTCTTTGGACAGTGAGAATCCTTTTGGTGATACTGTTGAGCAAGCTGAGAAGCCACAGCACATTTGGCTCCAAGTTTCTGTCCTTTTTCTTGGCTTTAAAGAGCCTGAAGCAGATTCCTGCATCCTTCTCTCTCCTGCTACATCAAATCAGCCCATAAAGCAGATGCTTAGATTACTGGAGTTCTCTAGCTAAATGCCAGTAGTGTTGCAGAAGGGAGTTCACTGCGTGCAACTTTCAAGTGCATCTCCATGGACAGAGGAGCTGTTCAAAGAGCTACAAAGCAGGAATCAACAGAAACAGCTTCTGCTATTTGCCATTGACTTTGTAGGAACGCAAAGAATCAGATGCAAAAGGTAAAAAGTAACACATAATCAAAACAAGTTATTGGCACTCCAAAAGATGCCATGCAAGAATAAAGCTGTAAGAACAGTATAAGCTCTCAGGGATTCTTCTTTTGCCAGCCTCTCTGTGTGCTCAAAGTGATTTCGTGACGTAAGTCGTGGGCTTGAACCAATGGCCGTTATCCGTACAACCACCGAAAAGGAAAGTTCACCGGCCGGTTCGGTTCGGGGCGGTCCGGTTGGGACAGGAATGGATTTGGGAAAGCCGGCAGGTGGCAAAAAGGAGCAGCTCGCTTTCCTCGCGGTATAAGTTGGTCCTTCCACCTCGCTTCCATCTCCAAGAAACCCTGACCCTTATGGGCCGAGCAGGGAACCCCTCCTCCTGCTTCCCGATTCCGGTTCTAGGTGATCTCTCGTTCTTTCAATTCGTTGAATCAGGGCGCGGTGAACATGCCATGCACGGATTGCCCCTTTTTGTTTTCCGGATTTGTGCTCGATCTTTGTTGGTGCTGCTGATACAATCTTGGCAATGTGGGTTTTGTGCGGATTTAAGGACGCTTCGTTTCCGTCCTCCTTGTCAAGGCATATTTATTGGTTACCAAAGCTCAAGTCCCGTTCTTGTGGCCTTTTCATTGGTTTGATTCAACCTTTGGGTTGGAAAGTTGATATCTTTTTCTGCTTTCTTGCTTTTTCTTTGGTTTTTGTTTTTTGTTTGGTTGGATCATTATGAATTCTTCAGTTGAAGAATCTAACGCGCATTAGCTAGAAGAGTTTTGAAAGCTATTATATATATATATATTATAGAGAGAGAGAGGCTTCCCTTCTTTTGGTTTCTGTTTGGGTGACATCAGTTGCTGTGATTCTGTTGTTGGATGGCGGTGTGTCAAGATTGATAGTGAAAAATGTGGTATACTATTTTTCTTATAAAAAATGCATCTGTTGTAGCTTTTGGCTTTCTGTGAGAATAATTAGGGCTGTTTTTTGGCATAATGGTTTAGTTTTTCACCCTATTGCATTTGACTGTGGCCTAATTCTGGCCTTCGATCTTCAAAGATGATATCTCTTATTATCACAATCAACTCAAATAATGTGCTTTTCTGATGAGGTCTTCAGGTGTTTATCTAGTTTACAGATTCATTTTTTTCCTGCATTTCTCAGAAAGCTTTCTCTATTTTCTCTTTTTCTTTGTGTATCAAGATAGATTTTTTTGCTTACTATATGCATCTTGATGGTCTTTTTCTAAAATAAAGTTACATCCTCTACATAGAGAGAAGAAAGGTGTAATGCAGTACTGGCTATGCTGTTCTTGTCATCCCAATAAGAAAGAACATATGATGAGACCAACTGGTGGTATGTTGTTAGCTTGGCTATTCACAGAATAGAATTACTTTCTCACTATGTTGTGTATCTCATGATAATTGCACTTACCATTGCATAGTATGTGTTCATTTGATTTAGTAATAAACTGTATAAATTTGGAGGTCATGTTCCTGTAAGGCTTCAATCTTTGTTCTTGTTGTTTGATGTTTTGATGTGAGGATGCAGTAAAGAATTTAGGTCATATTTTGACAGCATCCATTTGATTTTGTTGGATGAAACAGAGGAGTTAATCCAGGCTGATCAGATTAGTTTTTGATTAATGAGCAATATAAGACTTACCATTGTGACAAAATGATTGATTGGAGTAATGAGAAGTAACAGGTTGGCTATTCATCCTTTCTTTCCCTAAAAGAAATCATGCACAAGGATATTTTTTTTCCAAACTTACTCCCCGATCTTATAACCTTCAGCAAGCAGTCTCTTTTTAACTAACCAAAATTCTCCAACCTGAACAAAGGAAAGAGATTTCAGTGGATAAAATAATTCACTATGTAATGTGGCCAGTTGCTCAAACTGACAGAATATGAATTTTTATAGAACTCTTGCTAGGGGAAAGAAAATCATGTAATTATATGCCTAAAAGTTTTATGGCTGACTGGTACAAAAATGGCAGCCTACTGACACTGACTGGAGACTTCTAGGGCTGGATAATCTTAGAACCATATTTGCTTAGCTATAAGGATTGTTATTTCTTTAATTAGATATAGATTAGTGTTTGAATCGAGACATTAGTTGGCAGAACTCAGATGCATCTATTTGTTTCTGATGCATAATAATTCATTCACAAAGTGGATTACTTGGAGATGTCATCTTGTAATCTGGATTCTGGATATTCTTGAATCCTTGATCTAGTTGTTGCCATTTTATGTTCATTATCATCACAATCAAGGAAGAATCAAGGTAGCTTGGTTGCCGCTGCATCATTAGTTTCACAAATTCTTGATCTAGTGGTCATTTGAAGAACTTCTATGTGTTATCTATGTCCTTTTGTTTCATTGGTTCAGAGGCAAACATATCATTATTGGGTTCATCAAGTGCAAAAAAATGGTTTGGGTATTCTATCTTTTAAACCATGTTAACTCCTTCCGCCAAATTGATCTTTTATTTGTTTCTTTTGCAGTATGTCTGTTAAATATGAGCTTCTCCTGTCATCTTTAATCTTGTATGTTATATTTTTCTTCCCTTTTATCAAGTCGAACAAGTAGAGAAACTGTTCACAGTTTGATAATCGATTCTTGGCTTCCTTCCTGCTGTTAATCAGGGCCTTTAATTTTACTCTCGGTTGAGCAACTAAAGGAACATTGAAAATATTAACCCATTCTATAGCCTCCCACCTTATATGCCATTAACTTGTTTCTTTGTTCATTTTTTACCTTTTCTTTTAATACTAAGATACTTAGATGCTGTATCACCATGTTTATTTAAATGCCGCATGGGTATACACTGTTCTAATCTTGGAATAAAATTTTCTCTTCTGCGCAATTTTTTTATCTTGTCATATTTGCCATGCTGCTGCTGCTATTATTTTTTTCTAAAATTTTCTTTCTTTTATAATTCCAGGACAGCACAGAGGTTCAAAGTACTCCACTTCTAGAAAAAAACCCCGAAAGCCACCTCCTATTAAGGTGCCTAAATTTTCTTCAGAGGAATTGAAACCAAAGACTGACAAATTTGATTCAAAGTCTATGGTTGGTGAAGGATCACATGGAAAGGAATACTCCACAGTTCTTAACAATGGGAAGAAGGTTGCTATAAGAGAACTCGATGTTTCGTCGGAAGACGAAAGAAATGAAATTTTGACTCAGGTTTTTACTCACTGATGAATGCTTCTTTTGTCTCTGTCGTTTAGAAAATCTGGACTTGTAAATGTTGACACAGGCATCTGTTCAATATCAATGTCACATTGAATAATTAACTTCTTCTTTTTGGCACTAGGTTTCGGTGGCATCAAATTTGAAGCATGAAAACTTTGTTGAAATGCTAGGATATTGTGTGGAACAAAATATGCTTCTGTTGGCCTATGAAGATGCAACTCTCGGCTCTTTACAAGATATTTTGCATGGTACAAGATGTGTTTTCCACTTTGCCCACATTTCTTACTTTTTTTTAGTAGATATTTACATTATATTCGCAGTTCTTATAATGCAGTACAAGAATTTGATTTATTTTTAAAACCACAGGTGAAAAAGGTGCAGAATCTGGTCTACTATTGGACTGGACACAGCGACTGAAAATAGCTCTTGATGCAGCTAAGGGGCTACAATATCTTCACAAGGAGGTTCAGCCTCCTATAATACATTGTGAAATCAGATCAAGTAATGTCCTTTTATTTGAGGGCTTTAAAGCCAAGATTGCAAACTACAACCTCTTAAATCAAGCTTCTGACGTAGTCACTCGTATTCGTTCTGTTCGAGCCTCGGGAACTTCTGTTTATCATGCACCAGAGTAATTACTCGACTTGAATTCTCTGCAATTGCTTTTGAACTTAGTACATGAATAATTCGTGTGGAAGTCCCTTTCTCACTGGCAACTATGAAATCACTCTATGAAATTACATGAATCATTTCTTGTGGCACTCATTTCTCACTGACCACAATGAAATCCTTAATTATCATTACTGCATATGAAATGTTTTTCTTTTATAAACTTCTCGGATACTTTGTCAAATGCAATAAACTGTATCTTTATTGAATTTGATTGAGATAAAGTGAGTTCTTAAACCTTGCTACCCTCCACCACTTTTCCTTTTTCCTTAGTCATTATATTGATCTGTGCAATATTATGCAGGTATGCTATGGCAGGCCAGCTGACAGAGAAAAGTGATGTATATAGCTTTGGTGTTGTTCTTTTGGAGCTGCTGACTGGCAGGAAAACCACAGAAACTGAGTTGCCTAAAGAGCAGCAGAACGTGGTTACCTGGGTAAGCCTTTTCTTCTTTGTTATCGACAAGCAAATAACCCATGCTATACATGGGAAGTAATGAAAAGTAAAAGAAAAATATTCAATATGAATATTGCTAACTGAAATCTATTGAAAATTTTGTCATTCGGCACTAACCCAGGGTTGCTCGACTCCAATTGACTAACGATAACCAATACAGCTTGATAAGGCTGTCTGTTTTCTATTTTACAAATTCCAAATGCATTGGTTTTATCATGCTTCTCAATCTTCGTGCTATATTCTACATGATAAAAGTATGTTCATCTGAAAATGTGAAGAAAACTGGTCTGTTTTCATACCACTAGTTATGAAGTCGAATTAAGCATGTTTTAGTCTTCTTCGTCTTTGCTTTCTATGCATTCAGTCATTGTTTCTGTGATCTTAAATAATGTTTGTGGACATGAAAATGTAACAGCCAAAAGTCAGATGACACAGCATCACCATCATTAATTTTTGTCCCATGAAGAAACTAGTTTTATGTTCATTTCTTTGGAATTTTGCCTGTGGAAACATTAACAATTGGGGAAAATCTTTCATTCTGTTCAATTTAAAAGACAATTAATCTTGCTGTATCATGAAGTAACAGAATTAAATTAAAAAAAAATAAAATCCTGTCCTAGCTTGGTATCATATTACACATGATAAAATTTGGACCCATACGTAATTGTGAAGAGTAGGGCAAAGCTTGTCTGAAAATAACTCATGATAAGAGTTAAATCCATATTGAATTGTTAGGATTTCTTGATGAATTTCATATCCACTTTGTATAGAGAAGAGCCAAAAGTCTTGATCATCAGTATCTTTTTCTTTTTATGCACCACAACTATTATTTTGTTAACCCCGAAGACTGCAAATATGGACATTAAAAATCTGATGATCAGAAAACAAATGAATTGTCATCATCACCATTTTGATCCCATGAAGGCACTTGACATAAGCCAAATGAGAATTTGTAATAGAGATTTTGATTTTGGAATTTAAAAAGGGAAAGAAAAAGAATGTTTACAAATTGAAAACATTATAATAAGATACAGCAAAATATACAGGATACTGTATATTATGACCGGTCTAATTTAATCATGCTATTGCAAAAAAAAGTAGAAGAATGAAGATGTTAGATCCAAGGTATACAATATCGTACCGTACTAGTGTTTCGAGGTTGGTTCGGTACGGTACAGTACGGTATCGTGTACCAAGCAGTACACCAGGGTGTATCGAGCGGTACACCAGGACGTACCAAACTGTTTTATATATTTCTTCCTTTTATGATAGCATTGTAGCATGGCACTGTAGCACGTTCCGTCTGGTAGCGAACAGTCTGCGTACCGCCCGTACCAGACGGTACCATTCGAAATTACATATCATGGTTAGATCACTCAATTTATTTAAGAATCCTTGAGGAAAGATCAAAAATTACAGTGGACACAAATTAGAGCCCCATATTTACAAAAGATCATAAGTTCAATGACATGGATTTCACAACTTGACATCTATATTCAAGCACCAGCTGGAAAATGAAAGGATGATGATAATGGGCATATGAGATGAAGCATCAATAATCATTAGGAATGGTATTGTTCTGGATGCATGGAACTGTTCCGAAACAGAAAATTGTGAGTATGAAGCATCAATCATCACTAGAGATCGTATGGCACTCCATGCATGGCATTGTCAAGAAAGGAAAAAGTGAGATGCAGATGTTGTATAAAAAGTGAGAGATATTGATGGTTTAGAAGTTGACAGAAATGATAACTGATAAGAGAAATGGTGGTGGAAACTGGAAAGATGATTGATCTGGAAATTGAGAAATGAGGTTATGACATGGTGACATGGCAAATTTTATTTCATGAAAGGAAGTCCAAAGTATGGCATTTACTGTACTAATAATAAAAGAGATAAATGGAGAGAAGAAACAACGTAAAGAAGTACATAATGATTTTGAGGCCCTCATTTTGTTCCCATCAGGTGGTGAAAGGGTTGCTAATTCCCTTAAACTTGGAGTATGAATCACAAGATAAGGATACAGACTAAAAGAGTTGAGAATATCTCATTTTGTTCCCATCAAATGGTGAAAGGGGGTGCTAATACCTTGCATCATTTTTTTGATGGTCATGCATCTAATATGTATCCTAGGTCACTGGATGAACAAGTTTGTTTTGTTTTCTCATACGAGTTCTATGTCAATTTGGATTAATACCACCTATTTTTATTTTCACATTCTCACCTATGACACAAACTTCTGGTGTTTTATTATGTCAGTGGCCATCTTAAAGCAAATAATTCAACAAGCAATAACCATGAACTGTCTAAAAGTTTGAGCAAGCTGTTGTCCTGGATTGGATAACTTCAAGTTCAGTAGCAGGAAAGAATCTATTCAGTTAATCCTAAGTAGTTTAGGAATACAAATAGTTGTCTTGATCATGGTTGTCTATTGACAATAAGTGGCTTGCTGTATCAGTTGACACAAGTGACTGCAATTACCTCCTCTTTACAGGCAACTCCAAGATTGAGGAAGGATCAATTCCGTGAATGTGTGGATCCAAAGTTAAAAGGAAAATACTCAATAAGAGGGGCTGCAAAGGTCTTTCTCCTGTCTATGGACACATTATTTTTCTCACTCGTTGCTTTGACTTAACAGCTTGAGGTTGTGAATTTTGATTCACTGGGCATAGAGCACTTCTACACTGAATACCACTGCCGTAGGATGTTTGGGGAATAATGACTAAACCTAGGCTCGATTTGTTCCCGCAGCTGGCAGCATTGGCAGCTCTATGCGTGCAGCACGATGTGGAGTTCAGACCCTATATGAGCAATGTGGTGAAAATACTCTCTTCTATTCTCGAAGACTGTCCCCCTCCCCCACCTGATGCTCCTCCTCCCCCACCTCCAAATGCTTGAAACATGGAATGATTGCCATTCACAGTGTCAGCTTGTCTCAATTGGTACGTTTATATGCTGCAAGTATACATGTTCTGTGTAATTTTCTTAGTCAGGGAGCATTATGATGATGATCTAATTCTTTTGCAGGCCTTCGGAGTGTGTGATTTGTGCTGAGTGTTTTAGTTGCTGGTCTTTCTCCAGATGGTTGTGTGTAGCAGTAAGGGATAGTAAAATGTAATAAAAGCTGTAATATTCATTACATTTCAGTTTTCTTTTTGTGTGGAAAATACTCATCAACATAATGACTTCTTCGCTCGAGATCATTTCGACTGGATCGACCTATTTGATTGAATTATTATTTTTATTTATATGTTGTTATTGATTGGTGTGCTTCTGATTAAGTTACATGGTTGTCCCCTTCATTTGGGACCATTCTTAAAGTAAAGACATGATTGAAAACATGTTGATGGTTAAACTAGCTGAGACCAGCTGCCTCACATCATGCATAGGGTTGAACTTGTCCAGATGCTATTAATCAGTATTACAGGCACATATTCTCCATTGTCTTCTTGAATTGCTTTCTTATCTTCCAAAACAGTAAGAATCAACTTTGCTGGTTGCAGATGGGAGAAATCATGACATATTGGAGAACAAACACAGTCACAGACAACAGAATGCCTTTTCTGTCCATGTATGCAACCTAAATATGCTTGGTTTTGAATGATGGTTGCCTACAAGAAACAGGTACAATTGCTTTCATCTTGGCTCAAGACTTGTGTGCATCTCTTAGTTCTTCAACCATGAAACTAGAGAAAATTCTCTTTCATTGCTGATGCAGCAAATTCATTCACCAACATCATTCCTTAGCTTTGTGCATCACAAATTATTCCTTAGCTTTAGGTAATCCAAACCATTTCTATCTGTTCATGTACATGGCCAGGCATCCAGGCATAATCTGTATTCCCCAAGTACAAAAGGATGGGTACAGGAAAAAGATTCAGCTGCTACTGCAGCACTCCCTTCAATAGTCTTCTTGCAATGGTTGCTTCAATCATTATTACTTCTGCAAAGTAGCTTATCAAGAGCTGATGCTAAACAAGGTTGCTTGCCTGCATTTAGCATCACCTCCTGGGAATACATTACAAAAGAAATAATGTCTGAAGCAACCACTTCAAGACCATCCAAGTGCTAGTTGAATTTACCCTCAGTTACTCTGAGAAAACATATTTCAAGTATTTCTACACTCATCAAAAAGGATAAAGAAAAAGAAAAGCAAGCAAACCTAATTGTGTCAGATGAAAATTTCTAGGTTACATCCTATGAAGATGTGAGTTGCAGGCCAGAATACCCCATTGGTTTTCCTTCCATCTCTCAATCACTGCTTAAATGGGAGCTGACAAGCTTCAGGTACCTACTACACTTGATTATAACAGAAATAAACTGGTCAATGTATGATTGTTGAGACAGGTGAAAGGAAGAGCTGAGGTATTCTGACTTATTTATCTTCATTGTAACTGAACTGATTGCCTGAACAATTTGAGATACCCACATTTCATACTGTTCATATCAATAACCATCTTATTCATTTTATATCATACAGAAAGAGTAGATGTCATTCTTCTCTACAGTGTCTGTAGGTCAGACTTGTTATAATGGACCTCTCTTGTCATTCTCCTCTTTCTCCTTGTTCTTTTGCTGATGTGCCCCTTCATTTCCACCTTCAATGTGGACCATGGCAAGAAAAAAAGTGCTCCCAGTGGCACCAAGTGCAGTCACTGCAATAGAATTCCATGGATATTGCTTCTTCCAGCATCAGGTTGAACTCACAGACTTAACCCTTTTTAAGCTGCATAATCTGACAGTACAAGCCACTGCTTGGGCCCAATACTTGAGCCTTGCTTTGACTTCATCTGGATCATCTCCTGGTAGATAAACCGAAAATTTGATTCAGATCATGATAATAAACCCACAAGAATCTCAACTTCTCTGGCACATAAGAAGAATTGGGGGTTTGTACCCAATTCTCAAGTTAATCTTTCGATCCAGAAAAATGACATGGGGAATGAAGAAGAAACGAACATTGAAAATAAATTGATGGTTCTCTGTCATTCGTCCCTGTCGACGAACAAGATTTAGAGGAGAAAGATCAAAGCTTTTGCCCTAATCACGGACGAACAAGGGAGGAATGCGTCTCACCAGGGCTGGAGAACCTCCAATTGGCGACGGGAGATGAAGAAGGCGACGGGTACCGATCCGGATGATCGTCCAGGCGGACGCTCTGGCACAGGGAATAGCAGAGCTCCAGCGCCGGGAGCGTGTTGCAGAGCCCCGGGATCTCCTCGTAGCTGAATCCGAACCCCAGGTCGAGGCACCCCTTGAGCTCCTCCAGGTCCTCGTCGGTCAGGCTCCTCGTCCTCGCGAACCAGCCCGGCCGCGGGACGTAACCCTCCAGCGTCACTCCCCCTCCGCCGCCCCCCTTCAGCCGCCACGGCTCCTCCCCGTTGCGCGGCCTCCGCGCGGATCCCTTCTCCTCCTCCACGGCTTCAGCCATGGGATCGCCCTCCTCCTCCCTTCCTCTCCGCCGTCTCTAAACCCCGCGACGGCTCTCCGCATTTAAATGGCTTCAGCCATGTAATGTATGGTATGTGCGCCATGGCGTGGCGGGTGATGATATCATCACGGCATAAATATTCCACATCGACACATTACTACGACACCCGTGTTCGTACTCCTTACAGCCATAGCGGGTCCCATTCTGGGACCCACATCTGCCGCTCTGAGCAGCCGATGCGGGTACGCAATCGTGTACATCGGAATGAAGGGAGTAACTCGAGAACGATCGTGACATGGTATCATAATGTCGTTCTTGTAGAATATGACCAATTTAATCCATTCAACCACATAAAAAGATGTACCTCTCTTTCCTTCTTCTTCTCTCTCTCTCTTTCTCTCTCTTCACATTTTTATGTTTGGTGAATTCTATGCATTAAGCTCCAATGAATTTAATATTGGATAGTTGATAGATCCTAAGTTTGAATTCATCTAAGAACATCTCGTACATAATTTAATGTAATAAAAAAATATTATTTTTAATATAATATAACATCTTTAGAAGCAATATGGTGAACTGAAAGGAAGGCTGAAACATTTTGAGGAGAACACAATCTTGATTGTGGGAAACAGTTTCCCCCTTGTTCTTGTTAAAGCAGATTGGCCAACCAACTTTCCACTAGGATTTAGAGAGAAGTAAGTTGCCATCATGAGTTTACCATCAGACTTGGAGGTATTTGGGGGACATTATTCATTCCTATCATTAGAAAATGCTAAAAATATCCTCTTTCTACTCTACTCACCTATTTGAAAAAATAGAAAAAAATATTCTTATAATTTTATTGTTTTAGGCGATATTATTCCTTGTCATATTTTTTTTTTTACGAAGGATAAATGATGAAGATAGAATTAGAGCCAAGAGGATCCAAGATACAAAATAACAAGGATTACGAATCATTCTGCCAAGTATTTGAATTAAATGATGCCTATTTGAGCATTATGTATTGAGAAGTGAACCCTAATGGAGATGGTCGAAACAAGCATGATGAAGCTTTTGTTCCCCTGAATTAATGATACAAAGGCCAAATGATTATTATAGTCAATGGCCCGCGATCATAGGCAATAAATGCATGAAATCTTTTTGACTCGATTGTTAGGCAACAAGCAATCATTACTCACCAAATTAATCATGCTGCCGAAAGATGTTATTTTTCTTGGTAGTGAAGGAACTTTGTGCCTCACTTCTTTGACTTTCTCCTCGGCACGCTGAGATTAATATAAAGCAGGTTCTCATCCCTGCAAAGGAATGGCATTCATAAGATTGATGAGCTTGTGGTGTGGTGGCCAACAAGTAATGGTGCATCCAATTTGAAATGGTGTGGTTGATTACACCACACTGCCAATAATTATTCTTTAAGGAAATATTCACCAACATGATTGCAAGTAGATCATACATCTAAGAAGGCATGATGGAAATGCATTTTAACAATTTCAAGATTTTTATTATAAGAGGGAATTTTGATATTAACTTGATATGCTTCAAACCATATATATATGAATTGAATATGCCTCAGACCATGCCAGTCAAAATATTATAAATCATGTGGTTTGAGTCTATCAAATTGATGGACCAATTCTTCATCAGAATTTACAATAGGTATCAGAGTGATTCTATCACTAGTCACCGGTGAGAAGCACAAGTAAAAAAAGAATTAGTGTGAATTTTGATTTACATTCCTTGGATTGAAAAGTGTTTCTCTCTTTTTGTTTAGTTTCCTTTTACATTTCCTACTGTCTAATCCAACAATAAGTTTGTTGATGTATATATTGCAACAAAAAATTTCTTTTTGTATTTCCTACCTTCTAATCTACCAAAAAGTCTGTTGATGCATATATAGCAACATAAAATAACATCACTATGATATGGTTCAGCAATCAATTGTAACCTTTGTCACTAACTTTTTCTACTATTGAGATCTAGTGAGATGCCACTTAATATTTCCATGACATGAGTTTCATGAAGTGTTTCATCTACCATGTCTAGGAAGAAGACGATAATACATGGATTCACACCCTAACAAAATCAGCCAAACACAGACTCATCTTCTTACAACTTGTTGCAATGAGTTTGTAAGAACATTGACCTCAATTTGGTGAAACAGTACCCTTGTGTTGGATTGAGTGAAAAGGGTCTGGCACAAGACAACCAACTAGATAACCATTAACATGTAAAACACAAGATATCATTTTCGACATCATACATTGTTAACACCAATCGAGTGCTTATTATTAATCATGAGATTGGTCTTAAATAAAAAACTAAGAACATTCAACTGAATACATGGTTAGAACTGAGTGATCACAGAACATTTCTAGGCAGACTTTCATTAGAAAAATAGTGGCAAACAAGAGGAACACAAAACAAAGGATTGAATGTGCTACTTGGAATACAACATTGTTGGCCGAAAATGAAATCATCCCATGTGAATTGGAAGTACAGATAATAAAAGTTTACCTAAAAGCTGGATATATCACTGCCGTAGTCCTCTTTTAACTTGAGTTCAAACGTGCGATCAAGAAATGGGAAATCCTGATTGGTGAGTAGATCGTCAAATTCTTCTTCACCTAGAAAGAAATAACAAGATCGAAGAAAAGTAAAGAAAGGTACGTTAAGACCGGAGTAAATGAACATTAGATACATGGAGAATACAACAAAAAATAATGCTGTATAAGAGAAACTACGATGCATGGCGACATATGCCTACACACACCATACCTAAATTGGTGAACCTGGTTATGCTTCGGGGAAGTTCCTCAGGCACCAGTTCCATCTTTATAATATCTTCAGAGTCACTAGCGACTTCCTATATCAGAACCCTTTACTGATTAGTTCATAATCGATATTGGTTTCGTCTGTCAAAAACTGTCTTCTAACTCTTAACTAGTTTGTAGTTTGTCACAAATAGAATCAAAACATAAAAGCACAAAAATATTCAATTTTTTGCCAGGATGAAAGGTCTTTCGAGAATATAGGATATGTTATAGGCTGATACCCTGCAAAAAGGGCTAAAATAGGTGCCTTTAAGTATATGTCAAATAGAGAAACAAAAAATAATATAAAATAAAATAAAAATATCTCCAAAACCAAGAGTTTAAAAATACTAAATTGATACATAATTCATATTGGAAACAATCATAGACACATTTCACAGGATTCACTCAGAAAAGAGAAACTGATGATGAAACAACAATTTTGGATGAAACAATCATTATTCAGCAGTAACAGCATTTTTAGATGGAACAACCTACAAGCCATTTGACTTTTACCCTTAATGAATCTTCCAGTTATTTGATGTGCTCCAGATAATATATGTGATGCCAGTGATGATGCATACTAGTCTGTATAAACTTGAATAGATTGAGTATATCCTCAACTTACAGATTGAGGGAGTGCTAGCGAGCGAGTTGAGAGTCATGATTTTGAGATGGACAAATAGACTGGTGGCTATTTGAAAGGATTACACATTTACATCATCACATAAAGAACTTTTAGAGCAGCGTACTTGAGATTGCTAAGCACATGCTTTCACTTAGGCAAAAGCACCCACAAAAAGGTTGAGGCTCATGAGCAAGGTCTAAACATCTTGCATTGCATTAGCCAGAAAATGCACTTCGGTCCAATGTTCATCTTGTATGGGACAGAGAAGCAAGGTTCATGTTTTATATTTTAAATAAAAGATTAACTTTTGTTGACTGAAATGTCAGAGCTGCAACTAATAGCTATATTCTAGACCAACCTTCTGAATGTTATATATGAATGTGCATTTTGGATCTTGCTTCAATCTATGATGTCACCTTTTCTTACACTATGGATGTTCGTGGACCTTGATCATGAATGAGGAACAAAATCCACGAATCTCCATATTTATGCCACTAGGCAGCCTTATATGCATCACCTTGTGAATTTACATGGCAAACATACTTGGCAAACTACAAGATTATTGTAAAAAGAGTATTTGCAAATATGTTCTATAAAAAAATGATAGGAATGCAGACCCAGCCATACACATCATAGTAGTTGAATGGAGGACATACAACTGCAACAGTCAGATGGTACTACGCCTATCGTGCTGGAAAGATTACAATCTTGGGAATGCACAACGGGAATTAAAACCTGCTAATTAGATAGATGGTATAAACTTTTTCTCATCCACATCGTGTTATTGAATGGTAAAGTTAGTATTCACATCTAAATGACAAGAAGGAAATGAGGACATATGGGACAAGGAAACTTTAGGATACTACAAATGAAGTTGTCAGTTTTTCCATCTTCTATAGAGTTCTATTTCCTATTATCATTGAAACAACAATATTTTACAATACAGAAGTTACTATAATGGAATACTATTTCCATCCCGGAACCATACAACTAAGCAAGATCCAGAAAATTAACAAGAACTCCTCATATCAGACAATTTTAGCAGCAACTAAACAGAAAAGAGTTGAAGTAAAATGAAAACATTAAAATAGAAAGCAATTGTTAATTAAAAGTAAAATGTTAAAAAGAACTTTTCATCATCAAGGAGTAAGAGTTATCAGATGACAAGTATATACTTTGTAGCCTAGAATTAACACACAAAGATGAAAATGTGACATAGCCATAAACCATCTCCAGCTAAAAGTGCCATACATTTAATTGCATGAAAAGTGGGATACACAGCAACTAGACATTTAGAATTGTCAAAACATAAATGTAAGACAAACTGCATTACTAGATGATGTACTTTGGATGGGATTGCAAAACTGTAAGACATGTCCGTCCAATCGCGTAGTGCAGCCAATACTTTCTTGACTTTCTTATTTACACCTATGGAGAATGAAGATTACACAACAAATGAATTACAAGAAGCAAGAAGCAAAATAAGTAAAACTAAGAGCAGTCTCATACATACGTTCTTCATCCTTCTCCTGTTGAAGTTTCTGTGAGTCATTTCCTGAGAAATGGATCTGCTCAATTCCCTCTTTGGCCCATTCTTGACATCTCTTTAGCTCGTCTTCTGTCAGATAATTGTTCTTTGAACCAACCTTGGTAGGTTCAGGAGCACGTAATCCAGATTTATCTTTCAATGTTGGAGCCTTTGATGCACAAGATAATGCAGGCTTTCCAGTTTTTGAAAGATCCCTCAGAGCCTTTCGATCTTGACGCCCCACCCTCGCAGGCTTGGAAATATCAGCTTTTACACCGTTAACACCTTTGCCTAGATATAATAAAACCAGTCTTTAGAGGGTTAAAGCACAATTCTTTGCTACATCAGTTATAGGTAATACCTCCATGGAAGGGCAAATTTTCATTTTGAATAACAGCAGGAGTTTGAGAAGCCATGTCTACCTGCCTTTGTCTGTCTTCTAAGCCCTAAAATAAGTTTCAACAAGATATGTGTCAAGTATGTGTATATCTGACATAAAATTAAGTATGTCAACATCCCTATGAATCAGCGATAGAAAGGAAAACCCAATAAGCCATTCAAGCAGATGAGCATCGGTCAAGACGAGTGCTCAACAACTTGAAACTTCTGTTAGGCTCAGAAAACAAAAGGCAAAGGGAGATTGGACGACATAGGGTTGTTGAAGTTAAAGTTCGAATACAGGAGAAAAAGAATGTAACTTCTCAGTGTTGCAAGAAATTCCACAAAGATGTGTGCTCAGCAGCTTGAAACTTCTGTTAGGCTCAGAAAACAAAATGAAAAGGGAGATTAGACGACATAGGATTGCTGAAGTTAAAGTTCGAATATAGGAGAAAAAAAATGTAAATTTCTCAGTGTTGCAAGAAATGCCGAATAGATCAACAAAAGAGAAGTGATCGAAACCTAGAGATCCAACTCGAGGATGAGAGGAGTCGTTACCCACAGATCGGCTCGGGCGAAGCCCTAGCGAGCAGGAGCACGAGAGGGGGGAACGCTGCTCTGCAACTGGCGGCGGGAACCTCAAAAAGCGTCGCTCTATTATTTGGACGGTCCAGATCCACCGGACGCCAAAGCTTTGATCGCCGGACGCTGGTTCTCGTCGCGATGCGAGTCCCGACTCGAGTGAAGACCAGAGCGCCAGTATCACGCGATGACGTTCGACTTAAGTTACGACTTACGTAACCACATGAAGCAGCGCGGTTTCCCGTTTGTCGTAAAAATTAGAAGGGGCTTTTCTCCCACGTATGTCTTCGTCCCTCAAAAGATACCAGCCTGATGATTGAATATAAATAGGTCGGTCCCATGTGGAGCCTTCGTGTTATGAAGCGGGTACGATCTGAGTAGTCAGTTTCTCCCCTCAAGAAAAATCCTTGAGCAGTGACGGAGCTTGTGGGGGCCCTCCCTATGCCCAATAACAGGGCTGGTAGCCCGAAGGGTAACGTTAAGAACGAGCTCTCATTGAGTTAGCTCCGTGCTTACTTCGCGCCTCGCCCTTTCTTCCTCACAAGAAGCGCGCTCCCTGCCAACCGCCATTGTGATCGGAATACCTCGGTCGAGTAACACCAACCTTAAACGTCTTGCTGTTGTACGCCTTCATCCATCAATCAATCTAATGTCGGAAGGAGTTGGCGGCGGGATCTCGGGATCAGTGGAGCAACCGGCGGCGTTGATTCCTATGGAGGAAACTGTCGAGGCCCTGATCGTTTACCTCCTCGCGCCTCTCCTCCCTGCGAGGGCTTCCTTTCATCCGCCTCCTACCATCGATCAACAGAAGGCCGTGGCTAAGCAGGCACCATCTCTCTTCAAAACTATGTATTTGATTGCACTAACGCTTTGTCATCTTCTTCGTTTTTTCCTCTTTCTAGGGCGAAAATTAGGGCTTAGTCGGAAACGAAGAGTGAAAAATGGATCTGATGGGGTTGTGAGTTGTGATTTTACATGAATAAGCTGCACTTAGTGAAGGTAGATTGATCGTTCACTAATGGAGGTAGGAATTTAATTGATTGTAGCTTGTTCGGAAAAAAAAGAAAATAATGACAGATTGTGTTGCATGTCTAGTTGTTGAGAGTTGTTTTATACCTCATAAGTCAAAATTTTGAATTAAATAAATCAGAGTTTAGAAGGAAATTTTTTGTTAGAATCGCCACTTTGGGCTACCTTACTCACAATTAGGTCTTGAAATTTTGGTTTAGGCAAAAAGTTATAGAAGTGGTAAAGTCAGAACTCTGACTACAGAATAGAGAAGACTCTTATTTTCAATAATGCAAATCTCAAAAACGTCTATAGTACTTCCACCTTGGTGGCTCTCTTATAAAAAAAAGTAGTATAAAAAACAAATCATCACAATAAAATCAAAGGAATAACAGGAGCAATATATATGGACCTCATAGCTAACACAGTTAGCTTTCAGGATATCGATTTGTTAACGAAGATTTAATAATGTAAGATGTTTGCTTTCTCAGAACTCTATAGAAGCTTTGTTTGCAGGACCTTGAAGCACAAGAGATGTGAAAATACTTGGATACTATACTGACATATGCAAATCACATTGCATTTGTGTTGAAGATCAAAAGCTTTTATATTCTACATGATTGTGTATTATACCCAAGGTATGCAGTTTCGAATAATACCGCTCATACCGGGTGGTACGTACCAGTCCGTCAGCTGATCGGTACACGGACGCTCGTTATCGGACGGTATAGGTATATATATACATATATATATATATATACACACATATATATGTATACACATAAATATATACATATATATATATATACACACATATATATGTATACACATAAATATATACATATATATATATATATATATATATATATATATATATATATATATTTTTTTTTTTTTTTTTTTTTTTTTTTTTTTTTTTTTTTTAAGGTGACGTCGCCTCGACGACGTCACCCCGCCTGGGGAGAAGAGAGAGGCGACGTTACTTCGGCGACATCGCCGAATTATATATATATATATATATATACATACATACATATATATATACATACATACATACATATACACATATATACATACATATATATATACATATATATACATATATATACATATATATATACCTATACCGAGCGGTATACCAAACGGTATACCGTTCGGTATGCTGTATCGTACCATACCGAGCGAATGTCGAAACGCCAGTATGGTACGATATTTCAAACCTTGATTGTACCGTTCCTGCTATCTTTAGAAGTAAGTTGAGCTTACAAATTCCTGTTTGATCTGCATTAATTGAAGATATGTTGGAAATATGCTAGTTGATCCAGTTGATACTTCTTGGAGTATATCAAATCTGAATGGAACAAGGTTGTTCAATCTGATTTATACAATTATCACATGGACTGCTCTAGTAGAAAACAATACGCTACATTTTCTGTTAATTTTGTATTATATGAATGAAATTTAAGTTTGCAAGCTTTTTCTTTATCTGTAGCAATGTAGGTGTATAATTGTTTTCTTGTTGACCAGTGGATACTTGTAAAAATATTATATCCAATCTTCACTGAAGGAGGATTGTTTAGTCTCACCTATGTGTTTGGATGGCTTGCTTTACGCCTTTAACACAAAACATTATGCTATCATGGTCGAAAAACAGCAGGTTGATTGGTAGGACTTTGATGAGATTGATGAGATAAGGGAAAAACAGCAGACTGAATGGTAAAAATCGCAGGCTAGAATATTGTCTTCTTATGTATGAGGACTTCATAACTTACTGTACATAAGAACTTTTACTTTTGTCTCCCTAATCTTTCTACTTTCTGTGCACCTCAAGACTTCTCTTGGTTATTACCTTTCTGATCTTCTAATGATTTCTTGATCTGCAACTTCTGTGTCATGCTGCAGATGCATTCAGCTGTGCTGCTGTATAATTATTACCACAGAAAGCAGTTTCCACAACTTAAGTTTCTTGCTTTTGAACCTTTCTGCAAAATGGCTTCCATTGCAAATCCCAGCCTTTTGATGTATATGAAATTTATGCTCAAATATGAAGAAGGGCCAGGAAATCTTGACAAGCATCTCTCAGTCATGGAGAAGATGGTCATGGATGCCTGTAATATTTCATCAGCACTAGATGCATCTAAAAATGCTCCTAGCATGGATGGATAGCCAATTTCTCAGGTTGCTATCTTTCTTGTAGATACTAAGAAGGAAAAGTGTTGGCTTGAGTTCTGCTCTATGACACACAGGGTGTGTTCACTGGTGGAGAAAGAAGTTGATAGACAAGTCAAGAATTTGATAGGGATAACACAGATGAAAATGCACTTATCGGACAAAAGATCTTTAATTTCAGATAAATCTCTGGAAAATGAAGATGTATTTCAGCAGCTTGCATTTTTCTGCTGTGGAGCAGAAAACAGGTGCTGTCAATCAATATTTATATTTTTATTTCCTGAGTTTTAATGAATATGTGTTAATTATTTTCTGAAGGAGTAACTGATTTTCTTATGTAAATTTGTAACGTGTATCCAGGCCATTAATTGTTTCTGACAGTATCTTTGTTGATTTTTAGCTTAGCTTATGACTAATTGATGAGAATGAGTAACACTACTATATAACTAGTCAAATTCGATAGATAATTACTGTGTTTTACCATATAGTGGACTGGATACATCATTAAAAAACTTGTGGTTCCACTGGAAACTTGCTGCAATGTGCTGCTGATGAAACTTCACCATCTTTTTATTTATTGTGGCATTATGGACTTACCACTGCAAGGAAACATCTATAGACTTATTATGCATGTTTTCCTTCTTCTTTTTTTTCTTTTTTTTTCTGTCTGATGTAGGTCATATGCTCAGTGTCATTTTAAAGATTTTCCGGTGTTGAGTTCGACTATTGCATATATTGTGCAATGGTACGAGGTTTCTATTTGTGATAACTTTAACTAGGACCTAGGTCTGTCCGATGTGATATGTGAGTCAATGTCTCAGTTCTCTAATAGTTTGATACACTTATTCACATTTCAGTTGTAATAGATGGTACAAGTGGATATTTACTGCTCCAGTGGCCAACTTATACATGGTTTGGGCAATTTCATCTAGTCCAATGGCCAACTGGTACATGGTTTGGGCAATTTTGCCTTGTCCAATCCAAAAACCGAGCTTACTCACCAAACTGGGCTTAATTGATGCTAATATGACTAATACTGAATTGTACCAGTAATCTTTTTCTCTTAAATTTCCCCTATCATGTTAATATTTACTTCTTGGAACATACATTGTCCACCTAATTTTTGAATGGCTCTCTACAGTCAATTCATGCCAACAACATAGAAATATTCTTTAATTTTTTATTTTACCTTAGAGACTTGTTTAAAGTGCACTAGTGACTACCCTCTTTATTCTTTTAATTCACTGCCTTTTCTTCCCTACTGTCCACTTCCACCAACATCAATTGCTCCTCCACCATACTACCATGACCCACTCCACTACCTCTACTATCATGGTCACCTTGTCCACCACCACAATCAATGTCTTCACTTTCACCACTTCTTAACCATCCTACTTTTCATCCTCATGGACCATGGATTCATCCCCAACCTCTCCACTGCTCATTGTTTTCACTACTTGCACATCTCCTCCACAACCTACTTACTTGGCAGCAGAGGTAGTAGTTTAAGAAAAGAGGATGATGATAGCTTTTCAACAAATTTTCAATTTTTAGATTGGGCATTTATATATTTCTAGCCCTACCTTGTTTCTTTTTACAAATCATCATTATCATTTCTCTGGAGTAACAAAACACCAGTATAATCTGAATATTGGAGGATCATAGTACTTTTTTGACATTTTTTGTCCATTGAAATATATGGATGAAACAGGAAACTATATCTTATTTCACATCTAAAAATTCTACAAGTATTTCTAATATACTAACATTGACCTAAAGACCTTTTTGATGATTATCAAGACCTTTTTGTCCTTTTCCCCCTTTGTTTCTAAGGTTTCAAATATATTGATGTTGTGATATTCTAGTGTTAGTTATGTGGAGAAGGTTGCACTTTCTAGTATCATCATGTGTAATTTCTGTTGTATGCACATGTTCTATTATAGCATCTCTGCTTGTGTAGTAAAAGATGCTTCTTCTTGTTGTACAGCACTTTACATGTATCATTTAACTAGGAATCTTACTAATCCATCTATTTCATTAATGGAGATTTACTTTTGAAATTGTCATGCATTATCTGCCTTGTGTACTTTTTCTCAATCAGCAGCTCACTGCTCATCGGGCAGAAGATGTTTCTTCTTATCCATTGCCACAGAATGGTTTCTGATGTTTGGTACTTATGGCTAGATTTGTTCATACAGCATCTACATAAAATTCGGAAGGGTGAAGAGTCAAAGTGGTTTCTAGCTCTGTTCTGTTGTTTCTTGATTCTTCTCAGTCTAAAGGAAGATTAATCTTCTATTAAACAGGTAGCAACTGTTCAAAGTTGAGTATCTTGGAGTGTCATATGACATATTCATTAAGTCGAGAGAAGACCACTATCAGGGTATATATAATGAACTACACAGAAGCAATGAATGAAGGGCTTGTGGAAATTCCTATCAAAGACGTAATAAGCAGGTATGCTAGCAGAAAATGTGTCTATGTGCATGTATCTATATATATCTCCTGGGTATATAAACAAAATATTATGCATCCACTAAAATATATTATTTACCTATTTTCTGTTTTTTATTATTTTATTTGTTCATTAATTTTTTCCCCAATGATATCAATGTTAGATATGTCAAAATAACAAATAACCTCCTTTTAACTTCAGGTATCTTTATTACTGATAAGAACTTTATAATTTTGCAGCTTGCAAGGGCATCTAATCAGGACTGACCAACCTTCTGAAGTGACTTCAGTAGTTAAGTACTATCATTTACTACCATACTATGATATATTGTCTGATTGGATTTCCAGGTAACCTGCTATTCCTTGTATGACAACACTGAAACCTAGGCCATTAAGGAACATGGTTCTTATATGCAATACTTTGCAAAATGATAATTGCATTGAACAGGGAAACACATTATCATGGCTTTTTGCCATCATTGAGGCATCCAGCAGTTGTAGATAAGGACTACCAACCAGAATTGGACAAACCACTGACTGAAAAAGGTCATGTATTCAGCAATTCTGATCAGAAGGATCAAGTTTTATGCATGCCAAGTAACAATACGACCAAAGGTGAAAATAAAGATACAAACTACAAGAAGAAAAATAATCCATTATCCAGGGAAAAGTCATCAGTAGTTGATTGTACAAGAAAAACTAGAGCTAATGATTCCCTTTTGAAGCTAGACAGGCAGCTTGACATAAATGATCAAATATTTACTGATAAATCTACATTGAATGAGTACAGAAACAGGACAAATCATGCAGTTATAAATATTAAAAGCCCAGTAGAATCATGTAGAAATGCTTCATCACCAGGTACCTACATACCTATCAACATAGAGGACAATGCATCCTTGAACCAACATCAGCAATCATCAGCAAGTGAAGGTATGATAACTAGGGAAACAATCATTTCAGATATTTGTATTAGCAAGAGGGAAAATAACAATCTTCAGGATGCTAAATCCAGTCCTAATAATGGCCGCCCTGAGAAGGTGTGACATCTACATGACTCCTTGATTTTGTTTCATTGCATTGATAAAAAATATTTAGTAGAACTTTTATCCTTATACTTCTCTATCTCTTCTATAGTTTTAAAGTGCAAAAAAATTTGTTTGGTCTTCATTCGTTTGATTTTGACCTAGACAGTACAATTTTCTATATGGCTATAAAGCTTGTAATGTCTGATCCGTAATGTCACAGTGGGCTTTAATTTTTTCCCCCTTTTTGGCCTTTCATTTAGTGCTGCATATACAGGCTATGTGGTCTCATATAGTGACAATTGATGATGGTTTGCAAAAGGTTTCAGCTCTAATTTGTCTTTATAACCATCTTGTTGAAGCTGCATCCCTGTATGTCATCTAGTTTCTATAATACACAAAGATCGTGTATGAGAGTATGAAGGGATAATAGAACAAAGCAAACTAGTTCACTTATGAGGAAAATCATCAATTCTGGAATTTATGTATACATCCTTTCTTGGACAAGCAGTATACCTCAATCTATGATATAGAATATCAGCAAAATGAATACAACAACAATAACATAGTCGTAAGTCCTAACTATTTAGGATCGGCTATATGGATCTTTTATCATCATTGAGATATATAAAAAGTCATATATTTAATTAAGTTTAGAATATTTATAGTTTCCATTAAAGTCTTTTTAAGTCTTTATCTACCTCTCTCCACACCACTAATATTAATTATTTCACTACTTCTAACTACTGCATCCATAGGTCTCCTAAGCACATGTCAAAACAATTGTCTCTTATCTTATTCTCTATTGAATCGATACCTAGTTATTCACGAATAAAAATATTTCTTTTACTGTCTTTCCTAGTAACTCCATACATCAAATCAGCAAAAGGAATATCAATCTCAAATTCATATTAGCATTATTAGTTGTCTGACAAGTTGTAGATAGCTTTAGCTATATTCGTGGTTGTGTGAAACTAGAGATGTGTTGAGGAATTTTTGTTGGATCTGCAGAAATTACAGGGTGAGCTGAGTAATTGTATAATATTATTATTGGGTGCAAAGGAAGTCCACTGGAAGTAGAAATTCGCAATACTAGTTGATATTCCTGGGAAATCTTTTGGTCCTTTTGATCAAATTCACAATTCCAGATGCACAATGTCATGTAACAATCTGCACTGAGGAATGTGCTGGTGAGCAATGGTAAAGAATAAATCTACTCCAGGAATATAGTGGTAAAGTATGGTAAATCAACGTAATTGAACTGTGATGTAATGACTAGGACATCCCTTGACCTCTAATGATTCATATGGTGGCCAACACATGGTCTTGGTGAATCAGCTTCATTTTGAGACTGATACAATGATAATTGTGGTATGCTGGAGAAGCCAGCAAACACTAGGAGTTGATATTGCAAGGAATTTTAGTAATTTGCTTAAAATATGAATAAGATTATTGTTGAATTTTTCTACTAGCTAACTATTGGTTTATGAACTACTCAAGTAGCTTTCTGGGGATGTCAACAGTTGCTACTAGTCAATTTCTGGGCTCATTTAGTTTAAAAACATTCAAGAAATGGCAGAATTTCTCATTCTTGTACTGGGAGATAAATAGAGTTGCACACTGATGCATGAATTTTATGTTTTTGGATCAGATCCTTTGATATATGATTTTTGTTTAGTTTATATGACTTGCACCATGATACATTATGCTACATATGAGCAAGCTGAAAAATGTGCTATAAATGTGAACAAGTTGGGCATATGCTATAAACAGTACAAGTTTCTATGTAGTACCAAATATGTGGTATGTGTCAAAGAAAAAGAATTGTCTATGTAGTATAACATCACGCAATCAGCGTCGTGCTCAATTAATGGAGCATAAAGTCAAAATATATTGCCTTGATTATTTAACTAATGACATTGGCGATAGCTTGTTACAATTTTTGTTTCATGCAGGAACTGGATGATCTTTGTACATTACCACAATTCTGGATATTACCACAATATAGAGTTATTCCTTCAATTCTGGATGGTAGGGTGAAAGATGTTAACTTCTACTCAGGTGCATATTTTAATTTTGGCCACCTTCTGTGAAACTCTATTTTCTCTCTAAGTATATTCAATTGACGGAAATTGTCATATGTAGAGCACGAAATGGAATAGCATGATCATTTGTCTAAACTGGGGTCCAATAAACTTATCATATCATTGTCAGCTATTTTTCATCCAAGAAACTAATGATTTCTCATAACATGTTGAAAAATCTCTACCTTCTTGTGTCAAAATTGTTATTTTTAAGTGCAGCTATGTCTATTTTGTTTGCACTTTTGTCATTCATCAAGAATCGCAGAAATTGTCTCATGTCGAGCATGCAATGGAATAGCATGATCATTTTCTCTTCCAAGAAACAAATAATTTCTCAAAACATGTCGAAAATCCTCTACCTTAGCTTGTCAAAATTGTCATTTTTAAGATCAGCTTTGTCTATTTTGTTCGCCACTTTGCCATTGATCAAGAATGCTCCTTTGCAGGAATGCTCCAAGCAACTGTGACCCTTAAAAGGGTTGAACTTTGAATGCACGGTAAATGGTGATATGAAGAGCAGTGGCCGTGCAGCACGATCGTCCGCAGCTACTCATATGTTCAGCAAACTCCTCTTCATGGCAAGAAGCCAAGCTCAAGCACGAGTTCGAGATCTCCATGCCCACCAGTTTATGCTTCTATTAATGGCGCAACTCTCTCATCCTTTGATGCTGGAAAGCAGAATGAGACATGAACTCTGGAACCTTCAAGATCTGCTTTTGCTCTTTTGACGATAATTCAACATCTAAACTTGTTGATGTTTTTGAAGCCCCAACTCTTTTTCATTTACTGTTATTTTGTTTCCAATGTGATAACATGTATCTTTCAAAAGTTACATCATTATATTTACAAAAGTAAAATATTTAATTTATTATTTTAATAATTTTTTATTTTTAATTTTATAAAATTATCTTTTTAATATTTTATATAGAGATCCCAATATAATTTTTGAAAGTGTAGAGATTAAGATCTTAAAAGTAATTAGTTAAATTATTAAGATTATTAGATAGTAATTAACTTGGATAATATGTAATTAGTCTTTTTTTTCTTGTGATAATATAAATCATGTTAAGGTTGTTAGATTGTGATATGGAGTCACTAAATATTAAAGATTAGACTCGGACTAACTATAAAACGATTGACACAAACATAAATTAAGAATAATCAAACTAATGAAAAGTTAATTTTAGACTATATAGATCGGATCGGGTTCGGATTTGTAGATCCGAAATTGTAGTTGATCCTACGACATGTTATCAAGGTAACAATTGGATTTCGGATCGTTCTGAACCCGCACGAATTCGACCCGCTAAGGGAACAATTTTCTACAAAATTCGGTTCGAGATCGACTCGTCACTCTCTCCCCCTCCTCGAAGGCTCCATTTCCCGATCTCGAAGAGTTGGGAAACCCTAGAGATGGCGATCGCGGCTTTCCGTCGGATCCCTCTCCACCTCGCGCGATCTCATCCCCCACTCTCCCTCCGGCCCCTCGCCCGCTCCTGCTCATCGTCCTCCCCGGCCCCCTCATCTGGCTCCAGGAAGGTCGCCGACCGGATCGTGAAGCTGTTCGCTGTCGATCCCGAGGGGAGCAAGCACGAGGTCATCGGCCTCGCCGGGCAGACCCTCCTCCGCGCCCTGATCAACGCCGGCCTCATCGACCCGGCGTCGCACCGCTTGGAGGACATAGAGGCCTGCTCAGCCGAATGCGAGGTCCACATCTCCCAGGAGTGGCTCGACAAGCTCCCGCCCACGTCCTACGACGAGAGTTACATCCTCACCAGGGCCTCCAGGAACCGCATCCTCAACAAGCACGCCAGGCTCGGGTGCCAGGTCGTCCTCCAGCCCGAGCTGCAAGGTATGGTCGTCGCCGTCCCCGAGCCCAAGCCTTGGGACACACCCTAGGCTGAAAAAGACTCAGTTTGGTTGTCTGTGTCGCCATAGAGCTTGACTGAGGATGAAAGTTGGGATTTTAACCAGTGTGATTCGATAATAATGGTGACTTATACTACCTTGCATATCTTTATAATGGTTCTGTCATCGGGGAATGATGTAATCTGCTTGATTTTGACTTTATTTATTGAAATTGGAATTCCTCTTGTTTGTTTATATAATTTCTGATGATTAATTTTGTTAAAATGGCTGAGGTGAATAGGGTGGAAGTGAAACCATATCACACGGTTACCCTAGTAGATTCATAGTTTATATTTTTAGTTTCATGAACAGGGTTGACGACATCTTACTTTCAATTAAATTTGCTTATGGCTAATTTCTTATGCATTTTCTTCCTGGATTCTGCTACAGCATCCATTTTTATTTAATCTGTTATATTTTGATTCATTAGAAGTTGTAATTGTTGGAGAGTTATATTCTTAGATTCTTGATCTGCTTGATATGTGTTCTTACTTAAATGCTGCTTAAGAAAAAGATGGTTCAAGGCTCCTGCCACTGCAGTGAACATCTGTAAAAATGTGTGTTTTTCTTGTTTTGTGCACACAGCATTAGGCCTTAAAACATCATTAATAGATTGCTGCAGATGTTTACCTCACAGGTGTTTTATGAAATGAAATAAAAAAAACCACCGGTTCCTTTTCCTGCTATCATCTTTTTCATTCATTATCATCATCATTATCAGGGATTTAGTCCTCGTCATGAACAAGCCTGATATTGATGACTACTTTATAAGTACCTCGCTTGATAGATGAGTGATGCTTCTTGCTTAACTTGAGTCTTAGCTGATTATCCTATTAAATGTCTTATGCAGTAGCTTTTTGCTTTGTTGACACACCTGCAGAGGATGAACTTATGGTGCAGTATGGGATCCCAGATTTTTGCATGTCTTCTATTTTCTTGATATTCTGGCAACTTTTCTTATTAATGTGAAACCATTAGAGTTCATAAGATTGAAGCCATTGGTGCATCATGTCTTTCATAGAAACACAACAGTACTAACTATAGTATGCCTAGTAGAACCAGGTTAGAGGATAATCCACAGGTGCACTTCATTTATACATCAGCCAAAAACAAATATTCTCTAGAAGTATTAGCTAACAGCAGAAAACATATAATGGTGCTGGATGGTAGAAGGGGCTTGTCAACTAGACAAAGCATAACAGGAGTTCAAAAAATTGAAGGAAAATGGTTACAGTTTATCTTTTTTCTTGAAAACACGATTAAGTCCTAAGGTCAGAATTCACATAAATTCTAGGAGGTGGGTGTTATTTGGGCATCAACATAGTAAGTTTAAATGTATCTTCGAGTTAGTTTGTCCTTTTGAATTGGAAAAGCATAACAGCTGATTGTACAAGAACACAAACTTGTGATGATGAGGCTTCACGATGAAACTTTGCTTTGCACAAGACTGGAATCTCCCATATGTTTTGTTGTCAGATTCTTCTTTTCCTAATGCTGGCGGCTTCTTTTCCTTTATCTAATTTATGATACTTTCAGCTGGATTTCTCGGTATATGGTTGCCAGATTGTCTGACTTTAGTATTGTTTCTCCCGTATGCTTTTGCTTTTCATAGTGCTGGAGTTGGTTGTCTATCAGTTATTGAGGTTTCTTATCCGTTTTCTGGTCTATGATACTTTCAGCTGGATTTCTCAGTACACAATTGTCTAGATCATTTAACAACTAATATTGGTTTCTCCCATATGTTCTGTTGTTCAGATTGAATTTTCTTTTCTTAATTCTGGAGTTGCTTGTGTGTCAGTTATTGAGGCTTCTGTTCCTTTTCCTAATCTATGATACAATCAGCTGGATTTCTAAACGTGGTTGACTGGAGTATTTGACATGTTATATAGCTGTGGTCTATAATCTGAGTGATGATACATATATCATCTTTAGGTTAGTGAGCAAACACATTTGCTGCACGGTAGTGGGCATTGGGTTTGTGCTTGTCTTCGTAGTCCTTTATGTGCCACCACTCAACTCGTTAATGACAGCCTTTTGCCCTAATAAAATCTAGTGTTTCTTGTTTTCCACGTCGGTCATGGCCTTCCCAGGGCTTGTGTGGTTGATGCTAATGCCGGCCTTTTGTACCTAATAAAATCTAGTGTTCTTGTTTTCCTCGTCGATCATGACTTCTTAACGCTTGTGTGGGTGACAATGACAATTTGTACTTGCCCAAAAGAAAAAGATAATGACAGTTCTCTCATACATTATTGTTCATATTTTTATGCAGGTCTTACGAGACTTTTGTTTCAAGACAAAAGTGCATAAAGCTATACCTTAGAAATTGATATGTTGTATCTGTCACAGTTATCACCTCTTCTTCTCGTTCTGCTATCTATGTAGATTACTCTAAGAAGGTGATCGACAGGGAACAAGTCTTCACTTGAGACAAAAGTAACTCCCCCTTGGATAGATCATACTGGTTTAAAGTGTTTGAGTGGTTGTAATTAAGGTATGTAGTTTTAAATAATATCGTTCATATCGGACGGTACGTATTTCGTTCGGATGGTACGTATTGATCCATCAGTTGATCGGTACATAGATCGTTCGTTACCGAACGGTTTATATATATATATCGTTTGATATACATATCGTATCGAATGAATATTTAAACGTTGGTACGATACGAGACAATATCCAATCATTTACAAGGATAGTAATTGTGGTATCTCTCCAAAATAAACAAAAACAAATGTGTCTGCTAATTAAATATTTCTTCCACCGGAGAAAATAGACCCAAAAGACATGGCAAAAAGATTTAAAGAATTCTTGTCTGCAAATAATAACTATCTTTACATGTATGCATACGTATCGAGATCTGTATCGTCATGTAATGATCAAGAAGCTGCCTCCTGTCGAGGAGAGTCTCTTTGGAGAACCTCTCTCTCCAAGGCTAGTGGCCTGGCCCCTTGGGACTGGGGCCGTGCGACAACCTCCCCAGCCACTTCGCGGTGGTGCTTCTTCCCTTCTCTTCTGTGCTCATCTTCGCCATGCCGGCGCAGTCAGCTGGCGCCGGCCTCGCCGCATCAACTCCCTGCATGCTCGACGCAACGACGACGACGGAGACGATGACGATGAGCAACAGTGCTCGAGCAGTCCGAGGCCTCATCATCGCTGGATGCAACTGCCTTGAAAGAGAGAGAGAGAGAGAGAGAGGAGCTGAAGCTTT